GCAGGTTTGAACCATATCAACATTGGAAAATGTTCAGTACGCCATAGAAATACGAGTGCGTGAAATTTAGGTGTACCTGATTCGAATGAAACGAGAAGCACCGTAGAGAGGGGTTCTTCAGATGTGGCATAACAGTTATTCTACACTGTAAATTGTTTTACTAATTTCCTAGTTATCCGGCCACTTTTCAGTAACAAAATGCGAGTAGACTTGACTCGCATTTTGTTAGTCAAAAGTGGCCGGATACCTAAGAAATTAGTACACATTTTTACAGTGTACCTTCAGAGCTTTTCAATCGACTTCAACCTTCTGCCGACCACACTCATACGTTCACTTTCCTACTCTTTTGAGTCTTTGCTGTCTCTTTGCGAATCTGTTGCGTGTTTTTTGCGCATTGCAGGCCGGCAGGTGGCCTGTCCGAGTTTGCGGCCCGTTCTCCGCGCCGCTGTGTGTCTCCTCGTTAGTCGCCGGCAGTTGCCGATTCTCGCGGCCCGCGGCGACTCCCACGTCGGTCGCGACGGCGCCCCGCCGCTGCCGTCGCAGTCTGTCGTCGCCGGTGCCGACGTGAGGTGGTGCGCGGAGAGCTCGCGCGAGGGACCGTCCCGCTGACAGACACCGACTCGGACCCTGCGTCGAACGGGACGGAGTGTGTCTCGGGTGGCCTCTGACTGTTTCGGTGGTGGTGAGGTGTGACAGGTTCTGGAACTAGGAGCATCGAGCGGCAATAGTCGAACTGTCCAACTGCCGTGAACTGGGTCCGCAGATCGGGCATCGTACTGTGGAATTTGTGGCAATTGTGGAGCACGCTGTGAACCGTATTGGTGCAGTGAACTCGACAAGACTCGTGGATATACAGTGTGTTGTCTGTTCGCGCAGCTCGGTGACGGTGCCATTGGTGGTCCAGTGACAAATCGTGACTGACTGCTTTAGTGTACCGAAAATGGCGACATCAGACCAGTCTCCCTGTGAGCAGAATACAGTTGATGGAGACCTCAACAACAGTAAGTACTTGCTGATGAATTAATTATGCTAATAAACTCTGCGCATACATATATACGTTACAAAGATGATAGGCGAGATTTATTCAATACTTCTTTGGTTACCAACAAACTATTCCACTCCAATGCGTACGCATTTTGTTTAAAATTTGTCAACGGAAATTCGTTTAGACTTGTGCGTAAAAGAATTATAAAGTGAGTGTAAGGTACGCAGGAATAACATTTTGATAAACGGTTTTTGCGTCACTCGCGATTTAAAGTAGGTTCTTAGTGATTGTCGCATACCTATAAAACGTGAGGTGACAATACAATTTCCAAATCAGTATGTAAGAGAAATATAACTTATTTGACGAAATGTCCATTGTTGTGAGACTACCGAAGCCTCGAAGTTCACGATCAAAATGCTTTATTAGCAAACAGTCCATTTAAAAGCCATGTAATAGAATCAGCGCAGGGGCGTCTCATTCTCTCAGTTAGCCAGCTGTGATGAAATGTGGGCATATTTTCCAAGCCAGTCATATCAAATAGTTTAAAGATAACTCATCAATAAAAGCTCATATATAATTATATGCGCTGATTTAGTATTACGCATTCCATAGTGCGTTTGTGACTCACCATTGTATCGTTAACATTTCAAACATTTCAAACATTTCATCAGCAATTCTTTGAATACATATAGGACAGCTTGTAGCAGCTTGACAACCTATGGACAACTTGTAGCACCTTCAACTCTGCATAATACAAGCATCTCCTTCAATCAACCGACAAATGTGTTTGCAATGTATTTTTTCTCGTAAAATGCATTAACAAAAGAAAAGAAAGTTGTATGGTAACTATCCAATATTAACTCTAATGTAAATTAAACATGCTATTACTACTCAAACAATTCGAACTCACGCCGATTGCCGAACTGAATGCCACCCGCATTGATAGGCATAGGGAATCTGTTCTGGACCATCGGCTCCATTCGTTCAGAACGTTGTGCTGATATGGGCCGAAAAGCAAAACGAGTCTGCCATCCTTCTGTTGTCTGTGGCCAAAAATAAGGCTGGATGGGCAGTTTTAGCGAATTCGAAAATAAGTGTAACGCGTTATCATAGGTACTAAAAGGCGCTCAAAATATTACTGCACTCATTACAGCACAATCCATTAGTAAAAAGTAAATAAATAAAAAGACTTCAACAGTGTACCTGTATTACTTTTTGTCAAATTTTCTTTTTCAGCCATGCTTCAAATGAACTGTAATATTTCAGACAAGCGAGCAACACGCTCCGCGTGTTTTTAATCGTATTACCTTCGTTTGAACGTCTTAGGCTACGCGAGTCAAGGTCCAAAACCATTCACTGAACTGTATAAATTGCATTCAGTGCCTACACAGTGATCCAGAATGTAGCTATGATTAGGCGATGACCCGCAGACTCGATTAGCTCAGTGTAAAGGCGTAGTATGGATAGTTCGATCGGAAGACTAAATAAGACTTAGCCCTCGCCCGGCGAGGGAGGGTTTGTCATATCTCTGAGGCAGCATTTTGACACCCCCTGAAAATGTCAGGTCTCAGTCATTTCAGGTCAGGTCACCCTGGTCACAAAAACAGTACAAGGTCAGAGTAAGCGCCCTCATCTCATTCTCCTAATGTAAATTGTCCAGCGTTTGAGTGATTCCATACATTGCACAATGCACAATGCACACTGCACATGCAATATGCATTCCAGCTCAGAGTGGATTTCCTCGACGTTATAAGTACTCGATGTCGATGTTGATTCCTGAAATTAAGACTTTGGTCGTTTACGATCAGCAGCAACAGCGAAAGAACATCTTTTCTGAGGACTGTCTTCCCACCGCTCTGTTCAGAAAGAATGCCTGTCTCTCCCGGGCCTCGTAAGCGTTGATTGACTAACTACCGACGTGAGCAAACAAGTGTCCGAATTTTCAGACGGAACTACCCCTGCAGTGGTACAAACAGCCGAGCAGCGGTCCAGCGGTGTTTTTCGTGTTTGAGTGCGTCACGGACAGCTTCTGAGCAGCTGGTGTAACCGAATTCGTAGCTGTGCGGCAAGCAACAAAATGTGCTGCTACAGGGATGTTCACGAAAAACTGACACATTTTATTTCCGAATTACGAGAAAACACTTGCCCTCAGAACGGTGATCATGCTATGGGCAAATAGAGTGGACTTCTAAGTTTGCATTGACATATTTTGGGATCATGTCATTTTCGTTTCTAAGAAGTTACAACGTACTAGAGGTACAGGTTTACGCGATAACTGTATGTTTTGATATGTATGATTAACGGATGCATTAGTTTGGGTGTAGAAACTTGCATTTTTATTGGTATGATTTTTGTAGAACTGGGTAACTGCTTTTAATTGAACTGTAAAGTATGATGGTGATGCATGCGAGTTGTTCGAGCCCTTTGTAAGTTAGGATGTTACTGAACGCAACCCTACCCTACCCTACCCCTACACTACCCTACCCTGCCCTACCCTACCCTACCCTACCCTACCCCTACACTACCCTACCCTACTCCTACACTACCCTACCCTACCCTACCTTACCACTACCCTACCTACCCTACCCTACCTACCCTACCCTACCCTACCCTACCTACCCTACCCTACCCTACCCTACTCCTACCCTACGCTACCCCACCCTACCCTACCCTACCCTACCCTTACCCTACCCTACTCCTACACTACCCTACCCTACCCTACCCGACCCTACCCTACCCTACCCTTACACTACCCTACCCTACCCTACCCTACCCTACCCTACCCTACCCTACCCCTACCCTACTCCTACCCTACCCTACCCTACCCTACCCTTACCCTACCCTACCCTACCCTACCCTACCCTACCCTACCTAACTGTACCCTACTTAACTCTACCCTACCCTACCCTACACTACCCTACCCTACCCTACCCTACAATCCCCTACCCAACCCTAACCTACAATCCCCTACCCTACCCTACCCTACCCCACCCTACAATCCCCTACCCTACCCTACAATCCCCTACCCAACCCTACCCTACAATCCCCTACGCTACCCTACCCTACCCTACCCTACACTACACTTCCACCGACAGTCCAAGTTTCAGCTAAATCGGCCCAGAAACGGCTGAGATATTGCAAAAACAAATTAATTGTACTTACTGGCGAATCCCCTTGGCGAGCGGTGCCTTGTGTCGGCCTTCGTTGGCTCTGATGCTTTTCACTCAGTTTTCTAAGCGAACAACTGAGCCTAAAGCACGTGCCCTCTGCTCGGCGCCGGTCGCGGCCCCACCACGTGCACACCGCTGAACCCACCCCCTCGAAAATTTAATACGACAAATGAGTGCATGCGTCCGACTTGCAGTGAAAATTTCACCCCCGTAGCCCTTACCGTTCCCGAGCAATAGCGTGTTTTTGCCGATTCTAATGTTAACCCTATGGGCGCGCGAGCACGCGCCGCGGGCGCACCCCCGGCCGCATCATGCCCAAAATTTAATACGACCTACGTGTAAAGGTGGCCCACATCGCTGTAAAATTTCAAGGCCGTAGGTCAACAGACGCCGCCGCAATAAGCGCTACAAAGTGACTACGTCGCACACGGCGGCGGGGTACTTTTTAGGATTTATAATATAGATTTTGCAGATGACGAGTTTTTGGAGCAGTGCACGACTCAGCCCGAAACAGGAAATTATTCCCCGTTTTTGGGCAACGTGCCTGGAGAATTGCAACACCTCTCACTGCACTCGTCGGGAGGTTTGATGTCCTTTGGGCCGCTGCTACAGATCATGTCACTCACGTGACCCCACAGGAATAGTCCACGGAGTTGAGGTAGAGCGAAATGGCCGGCTATGGGTGAGAGGTGATGCGCGAGACAAGTGCCCTCTCCCCCCTGTTCTCGTGTGAGACCGATGATCGCCGTTACTGTACGTAGGGTGGCCCTGACGTGCCAGAACCACCAAATGGTGTAGACGTCGACCCATTTCCGCTACAGTAGCTAACAGAAGCTGTTAAATGGTCTTTCAGGGGCCCTGGCACCTGGAAAGCATTTATCGGTCAGCCGTGCGGCAACGTAGTACAGTGCGATATATATTAACCGTACCGTAAAGTGAAATCTACCGTACCGGAGACAGGCGTAGTTGGCGCATGCGCCGTACGAGCGCATCGCCTAGCCGCCATTGTCGCTTCAGAGCTCAACCGCAGCGGACACGAGTGGTTTCTGCGAGTGATTTCTTCTGTCGTGAGTACACATTACGGGCGTTATGAGCCACGCTTGAGAGCACAAGCAGCTATAGCCCGGTGAATTCCCTGTGTTGGGTGCGTGTCCAGGCTGCGGCAGTAAATCACAGTATCAGTTACGCCTCGCCTGCCGTATTTTTCCGGATCGTGTCCGTCAATCGGCGGTTGCCGTTGCTTACAAGCGCTATGCTAGATGCTCTGCCCCTGCTCTATGTATGGTATATATTTTTGCCGGCACCGTTCCGGCCCCGTGTCTGTTCCGTGTGGCGTCCGGCCCCAACGTGCTCTATGGTGCTTGTTCTGGGCCGACCCCCATTTCCTGGCCAGATGGTTCCAACATGGCGCATCTTCCCTTCCCTTCCACGGCGGCGGGTATCATCGGTGGGACAGCCGCGGGGCGGCGTGGTTCCACGGGACGGGATTGGTCGGCTCGGGGGCTACGTCATCGCACTTCCCGCGCCGCTCGCGCCACCTATGATCCGGCCGCTTTCCATTGTCTTTCATAGGGTCGGGTAGCTTTCGTTCGCGCAGCGGAAAGGTCCCGCGCGCCGGCATATTAGTCTACGGTCCGGTGGTGTAGTGGTTAGCGTCGTCGCGTTCAGCGCGGGGATTTCGGGTTCGATTCCCGGTTGGACCTAAACTTTTATAGGGCTTGGTTTGAGCCTCGTTAATGGCAAAGTTTTTTCACAGATTCTCTATTGCCGCTTTGGCGCGTGTGGGCGGTTTTCGTCGTACTTTCAGCCTCCAATTCCCGTTATGTTCTCGGCGTGTATCATTGCCTGTTGGCCCGTTCTATGTTGTGGTCGAACCCCTGCAGTTTGCAGCCGTCTGTGATGACGCTGTTGCGCCGGTGCGCGGTCTGCCGGTGGGCTGCACTGGCAGCCGGGGTGTCCAGCCCGCAGGTTGGGATGCGCTGTCTGTCCTGGCTCCGGTCCACCGTCCGGCGCGGTGTTCGGAGTCCCTGCCAGGGGCACGTGCTGGCCTGTTGCCAGCTATGTTTCCATCGCCAGGTGGAACCCGTCGGGGTGTTGCATGAGACCCTACAGCGGAACACATGACCGCCGCTCCCGCCGGTGTGACCTGTGGGTCACTTTCATTGGGATGATCCGTGAGCTTGACCCGGCTATTCGCCGTGTCGCTCCCCTGGTCCTGCTCGGTAGGCCCCGTGCACTACCAATGGGCCAGCGTTTGTTCCGTGATTTCCTGGCCCATACAAACGGGGTTAGCGCTATCCGTCCCGGCTCTGTTACTTCGTCTGGCGAGGTGTTCGGAGTCTCTGCCTGGGGCACGTCACGGCAGGTTCTGCTCCACGGGATTCGTTGCATGCATCGCCCTTAGCGCTCCCGGATTTCGCTCCCTTGACCCGGCTCGGCGCACCGACGGGCTCAGTTATTCCATTATGTCCCGGAAAGTAACGGGGATCGGCATATGTATGTTTTCGAATATATTTGTACTGGCCATGCTTCGCATGTCGCAACATTACGTGTTAACTACCCGAGCCGTGACAACGCTATGACTTGGCTGTCCTCGCCCTGTTGTTCCAGGTCATGCTAATAGTAGTCGGCGTCAGTTTCGCGTATTGGGCGGGCCGCCGAAGAGGGCTGCACGGGCGGGTCCGCACGGCGGGCTGGCGCGGGGCCCGTATTGCCGACGACGGGTTTCGGCGGTGGGCAATTGCGACCGTCCGGCAGCTCCGTCCCACGCAGGTCCTGCTGGTTGCTGGCGGCAACGACGTCGCCTCCAATCCGTTTAGCCCTCGCGTGCTCGTGCAGCTCTTTCGGGAGCTGGCGCTCGGGATCTTTGCCGCTGGCGCCCGTCAGTTACACCTGCTGCCGATTCCGCCGCGAGCAGTCTGCCGGCGTGGGCCGGTCTCGGTGGCGGCGTTTCGTCGTCGGCGGCGGCTGATGAACCTCCTCCTCCGGCGGCTATGCGGGAAACACCGCGAGGACTTCCCAGTGACCCTCTGCCCTTCCAACCAGCGATGGGCTTTGTGGGCGCCGATGGGGTCCACCCTTCCGGGGAGGGCTGGGCATGCCTCATCGATCTGATAAATGCGACCGCCGCCTCTACCCTCCTCATCTGAGGGCGCCCCACTGACTGGTGTGTTCGGCATAACACGTGTGCACTGTGATGTCAATACAGGACCGTCTAACCGTCGTGTGTTTCTCGTTTCATGACTACCGAGCCATGCCGAAGGCGCGCGCGCCGGTGCGCGGCCGCGCAGTGAGCCAGCCGGACGGCGCTGCGCGCGCCCGCCGCCAATCCACGCGGCGCCAGTCCGGCGCGTCAGTCCCCGCCGGGCCCCGGCGGCGAGCAGCCGCGCCGCCCCGCGGCAGACAGCCGTCGGAGCCAGCCGCTACGCAGCGGCCCGCTGTCGCCGGGCAGGCGGTCGTGCTCGACGCCGCTCAGTTGCGGGCCGTCGTCGCAGACGTCGTGCGGGACGCGCTGCTGACCGTCGGCCCGACCGCTGCCTGTGGCTCTACCGGGCTCGCGGGCTGCCGCGACGCCGCCGGACCCTCAGCACAGCAGGATACGCCGCCGACCACTACACGTTCGCCATCGCCGCCGCCGGCGCTGCCGCCGCCAATGGCACCGCCGCCGCCGCCTCTACCACCACCATCGGCGACACCTCCGACCGGCTCTCCGCCACATCTGCCAGGTACAAGCGCCGGGCTGGGGCTAGAGCTGTGTGAAGATACCTCGGCGGTGGCGCCGGCATTGCGGAGCAGGATCCAGGCGGACAAATTCGTCGATCTAGCTCTACTACTCGATTCCTATGACCGGTCCGCTACCGAGCGTCCACCCTCCTTCCAGCTGGTCGACGGCACCTTGCGCGCCGCTCCTCGCGTGACACGCCCAATTACCTCGTTCGGTGCGTGGAGCATCGCATTTACGCGGTTTGCCGGCATCTACGCCGAGGCGCACCCAGACGCGGCGGTGGGCCTTCTCGCTTACATGCGGCAGGTTGGCTCCCTGTCCGTGAGCGGTCTGGGCGTCGCATGGCGCGACTTTGATGAGACCTTTCGGCGGGCACGCGAATCAGACCCCGCTCGTCACCCTTGGGGTGCCACCGCCGCTACGTCCCCCTTATGGCTCATGGCCATAGCCAGGGGTGTTGGCGGCGTGGCCAGAGCCGCTCCGGTTCCGCAGCGACAAGCGGCCGCTGGATCTCGATTTCGGCCATGCTTCGCATACAATGGCCAACAGGGCTGCTCGGCCCGCGTCTGTCGGTTCACTCATGCCTGCCGTACATGCCGCGGCAGTCACCCGGCACATCAGTGTGCCACTCGACCTGCCCGGCCGGTGCACAGACGCGCCGGCCCCGGCAGCGCCGCCGCCGGTGCAGCCGGCTCCCGCTAAACCATCTTGTACATCTGCCGTCGCCTTTTCGCCGATGGTGCCGGCCGACACGCTCCACCAGCTTCTGTCCGGCTACAATGAAGAGTTGCGCCACTATCTAGTGTCGGGGTTTCGCTCTGGATTTTCCACTGGCTCTGCCATAACCGGGACAGGGGGGTCAACACACAACCTTCCTTCCTGTGATCTCGCACCTCAAATTATTGACGATTACGTATCTTCGGAGCTGAAGGCCGGCCGCCTCGCCGGTCCGTTTGCCGCTGACGGGCCCTCCCCGGTTAAGCGTATCTCACCCATCGGTCTGGTGCCAAAAAAGTCGCCGGGCTCCTTCCGCGTGATCCATCACCTATCTTTCCCGGCCGGTGAGTCTATCAATGACTACATACCACGCGAGTTCACGGCCGTGCAATACGGTTCCTTGGACGAGGCGGTGGAGTACATCTCCCATTTTGACCACGCATTTTTGGCTAAATCTGACATCGTGCAAGCCTTCCGCCTACTGCCCACGACCGAACGTGATTCTGCGCTACTCGGCTTCCGCTGGCGCGGGCTGATCTACGCCGACCGTGCGCTGCCCATGGGGTGTGCAAGCAGTGCTCAGATTTTTCAGACTTTCAGCGACGCGCTGGTATGGATAGCGCAGCGCCACTTCGGCGCCGGCCACATCGTCGCCGTGCTGGACGATTTTCTTTTTATCGGCGCGTCGAAGTCGGCATGTGCGTCGTCCCTGCGGGGCTTCACGGCCATGTGCCACCTCCTCAACGTCCCCCTCCATCCCGACAAGACGGTGCTGCCCTGCCAGCGGCTCACATTTTTAGGGGTGGAGCTGGACGTCGCAGAACGGGTTTTGCGCCTGCCCACCGATAAAGTGGAGCGAGCAAGGGATGCCGTGGCCGACCTCAGCCGGCGGCGGAAAGCACCCCTACGGCAAGTTCAGACCTGCATTGGGCTGTTGAACTTTGCGTGCCTCGCAGTGCCGCTCGGCCGGCCGTTCCTTCGTCGTCTCTCCGATCTCTGCGCCGGTGTCCGTCGGCCGCACCACCGCGTCTCCCTCACCAGGGCGTCGCGCCTCGACATGTCAGCCTGGCTTCTATTCCTGCAGCACTTCAACGGGCGTTCGCTGCTCGATGAGCGGCGCTGGACGCAGGCGGCCGCGGTGTGTCTGGAGACCGACGCCTCTGCCGGGGTGGGTCTCGGGGCCATCTGCGGCTCACGCTGGCTGCTCGGGACGTGGCCCGAATGGCTTCAAGGCGCCGATATCGGAGTGCTAGAGCTCGTCGCCGTCGTCGTTGCTATGCACGTGTGGGCATCAGACTTGACCCGCCGCTGCGTCATAGTCCGATCGGACAACAGCGGCGTCGTCGCGGCCATTAACTCGCAGTCATCGCGGTCCCCTGCCGCAATGCGCTGGCTCCGCCACCTCTTTCTCATCACCATGCGGTACAATATTCTAGTGCGTGCTAACCATGTCCCCGGTATTCGGAACGTCGCTCCTGACGCTCTCTCCCGGGGTCTCACGCAGGTGTTCCGGGAAGTGCGGCCGTCGGCCGACGCGGAGCCGACATCATGGGACTGGGCCGACTTCGCTATGCTGCAGACGTGACTGCACTGGAGGCAGCGGCCTTGGCACCGGCAACAGCGCGTGCTTACCGCGGGACGTGGGACCGCGTCCGCCATTTTATCGGCATCGGCCCGGCCATTCCCCTCTTCCCAATCGCCACTGCGACGGTGGTCGACTTCATCGGGGCCTGTTTCCGGGCTGGCAGTGGGGCCTCAGCATTAGCCAGCCATTGTTCGGCGATCGCTTACGGCCACCGCATCCGTGGCTTGGCTGATCCCACCGCCGATTTTCGGGTGCGCAAATTGCTCGCCGGGGCTCGGCGGTTGCGTCCATCACGAGACACGCGTACTGCCGTCACCCTCGACGAGCTCGGCCGCCTGTGCGCGGCGGTGAGCCGACTGCCGCTGCCCGCTGTCGACAGGGCCGCCTTTCGTGCCATATGCTCCCTGGCTTTTTTCGGCATGCTGCGGCCCGGAGAAGTCGTGTTGGGTGCCAACCCCGCCCACACCGTCCGTGTGCACCACGTAAGTGTGCACCGGGACGGCTTGTCGCTCACCATTCCCTCATCCAAAACGTCGCCGGTGCCGTTCACTACCGAGCTTGTGGCTCGCCCTGATCTGGCCTGTTGCCCTGTGCGTGCGGTGCAGGAATTTCTGAGCGTGCGCCCGGTCGGCCGCCACAGCGATTTCCTGTTCCTCTCGGGCAGCGGCCGTCCCATTACTACCCGACAGCTCACCCAAGTCGTGAGACAGGCGGGGCGCCTGGCGGGGCTAGATGTTCGGCGACTTGCCGGGCATTGCTTCCGCATAGGCGGCGCTTCATACGGCGCTCAGCTCGGCATGACCGAGTTGCAGCTCAAGGAGGCCGGCCGATGGGCGTCATCGGCCGTTCGGCGGTATCTGCGGCTCCCCGTCTCACTATCGCAGCTGGCCGCTCCCCCCGCTCGTCAGCATCCCCACTGAGGTCGTGCCAGTTCCGCTTCGCACAGACATTTCCGTCCTTCCGACACGGCGGCGTCCGGGACGGGCCCGGCCGCGGAGACGGGTATGTCAGCCGCACAAGCTCAGCCGCGCACAGCGTATCGCGCGAGCTGGCTCACCAAAAAACCAGATGGACGTGAATACAGTCCCATTGTCACACTGCATCTGGTTTTGTTGCAAGCGCGAGCTCGACGGATAAATGGTCTTTCAGGGGCCCTGGCACCTGGAAAGCATTTATCGGTCAGCCGTGCGGCAACGTAGTACAGTGCGATATATATTAACCGTACCGTAAAGTGAAATCTACCGTACCGGAGACAGGCGTAGTTGGCGCATGCGCCGTACGAGCGCATCGCCTAGCCGCCATTGTCGCTTCAGAGCTCAACCGCAGCGGACACGAGTGGTTTCTCCCACCACCGGCCCCATGCGCCCTGCCGTTAATTAAGGTGTTAGGTATTGAGTGTTTATTATGCGTCGCCTACCGGATTGTATTCCTGTGTGCCATGTGGTCACCTCACCAAAAAACCAGATGGACGTGAATACAGTCCCATTGTCACACTGCATCTGGTTTTGTTGCAAGCGCGAGCTCGACGGATAAAAGATGGCACGGTACCACTCTACAGTGACTGCCAGCATGCGGCCATGGTTTCTGACATCAGCACTTCCAAGCCTGCCAATTTTGGCATTCCTTAGGAATTTGCCCACAATATGCCAATAGTATAAAACATAATCCATCCAAACATTAATATGTCAAATTTTAGACGAATTCGTAGACTGGTTCAGTCGTGGTGGCAGATGGCAGCCGCGAGAGCTTCATTGTTTTTCCGTTAAGTTTTGTCGCCAAGTCAAATTTCCCCATTTTAACGCTTTCTTATTTATTTGGAAGCTCATGTGATGCTAACTAAAGGAGCTATGCAGATACAAAACTTTTTTCAACAGGCTTTCGAATGGCATGCAAGTCAAGTCTCCGTGAGCTCTCACATGCTCACAAAGTCGTTTTAAAATGTGTCAGTTTTTCGTGAACATCCCTGTACTTTCATAAACTGCTTCGTTGCAAAGGAACGCATGTACCCTTTTTTCTTTCCTCCTTGATCATACTTTTTTCATTGTGTCATTTTGACACTTGATTGTGATCCATTTCACAGTTCAAGTGTTCCATATAATTGTATTGCCACTTTTTTAGCAAGGCTGGGTAATATCTTATTGATGTTATACGTTGAAGTGTGCTCTTATCGGTTATGCCAAATTTCGCGACGGTGAGCAGAACTGTTGCAACGTTTTGCAGTTTACTGATGCAATATGCAAATGCATTCTTCAAAATAGGGCTTTCGTGAACCACTCCCTGTCCGCCAAACGGTTTCACTTATTACATATGCCCTCAAATGAAATAACACAGGCCTGCAGCGCAGGAAATGAACGGCAGAATGAGGACACATCCGCTAACGAGGAAATGTTTCGCAGAAACTCGCCTGAGGCATTCTCACGGGACGTCAATAGTCCTTGCACAGTCACCGGCAACGCAGTGTCAACGAGCGACGTTACATACAGTGCTATACCCGCACTGACGCGCTCAGCGCCTCATGATCTGCTCTCACGTGCACCTCCGTCCCGTTAGTCATAGAAATACACTGGGCAGCACGCAGTGACCGAATGGCTGAGTGGCTGGATTCCAGGTATGCCACACAGCAAGCAGCCAATCAGCCGAGCACTGTGGGGAGTTGGTCGCTGCGGCGGAGGCTCCGACTCCTGCGGGCGCCGCGGTGCCGTACAGGTCACGTTATTCCCGTCCGGGGACCGATCGCCGATGAATGTCGGCCGATTACCGGTGGTAATTAGCCTCGATACCAGCCTAGATATCGCCCCGCCGCGCCGGCCGAACGGACGGAGCTCCCTGTGCCCGGCGAACATAGCTCCGGGCGGCTCAGACTGACGTAGCTCTACCAGCAGCCAATAAGGTCCAGGTTTGCGATCGATGACGTGACAGCTGCACCAATAGGACGGGAATTGACGCAGAGCTGATGCAATGTGTATTTTGTGTCATAGCTCAGACTGACACTGAGTCCCTTATCTGGACTTTGCAGATGTCTTTTCCGAACAATGTAATGAAAGCGACCAATATCAACGCATAGGTATAATACACGTTTTTTTTTCCTGTGAATATGCGCCAGAAATTAAAAAGGACTTAGCAATTACTGTCATAAATACTCAATGATTTATCACCAGCAAAAGAAAATACATTTTCTCCAGGCTATTGTGCACATAACTGTGCACGGTATCGTCCATTGATTGATCATCCACTTTCAACTACTCAACTAGGTACGTTAAGAATGAATGATAGGCATGTATAGGTATACAATTAACAGCATCTTCTGACCACGGCAATATCAAGCTCATCCTCTCGCAAAAATATGTCTTCATATTTTAACTGACATGGCGATGATCTAGATATTGTAGACGAAATCAAATGGTGTCCCTAGCGATCTCCTCCTGCAATATGGCGATGCCCATGCCTGCTCCCGGTCCATTCAACATGGCGCCCATGTGTCGGCAGGCACGCCGTATTGCGAGGCGGTGGTGGACAACCTGGGCCGCTGCTGGCCGCGGACGCCGGCCAACGAGCGGCGAACGGTGCTCTGCAGTGACGTCATCCGACAGGAGATGGTCAACATCGGGGCGCCGCACCTCCCCGAGATCAACATCTCCAGTGATGGTGGGTGGACGGAGCGGCACAGCTGAGCTGCGCGGCGCACAGTGTAACGCAGGTTGTTGTTTCATAAGACAAACACAAACACTATTCGTTAGAAACTTGCTTTTCTGTTGAAAAATGACGTAAGCAGTCCCAAAAATGACATATCTGTCAGCGGACGATGACTTAATTCCGACATCGTCCGTGTAACCGAGCCCCCAAGCCAAGTTCATTATAGTTCCACATTGACTGTGTGTGTGTACCTACGTAAGTGCTGGTAAACGGATGGAAGTGGAACGCTCGTCCCACCAGAGACCAATCGGTAAATACAAAACTGGCCTATAAAGGACTCGGACTGGATGGCCCGTTACTTGGGGCTGGCTAATGGTTAGGCTGACCTAATCCAGGTCGATGGTTGTCACTCTTGGGTCCTTTTCTCTGTGTCGAATAGGCCCATTTGTGGCTTGTGCTTGAAAACGTTTTTTTTCATAAATATACCGCAGTTTTGCGCTGCGCTCAAGTTCAACATTCTCTGTCCGTGTGGCTTACGTAGTTGGTTGACTTTGTTCTTCTGTTTTTTTTTTTTTAGCCGTGGCGTTTCGGGAGTGTGATGCCACCGGCCACTGGAAAGGAGGTGGAAACTGGACAAACTACACACTCTGCATGGGACCTCTGGACGAACTGGAGCAGGTCAGACAGCCGGAACAACATCAATTCATAGATCTCATAGCATTATTCATCGATGTTGTAGTCATAATTAAATGCAGCGTCAATATTGAAACATTAATTCTCAGTATCGGGAGCTTCCTTTGATGTTATGGCGTTGTAATGGAAGTAAGTCATTAGGGACGCTGGTATTAACAGGGTAGGGATATGTTACTGATGTCTGTTGTGGCGCTGACCGGTTGGCCCGCTGGCTTCCCCAGGTGGACGACGGCGGCTCCAGGGCCCTGCTGACCTACATCACGTTCTTCGGCTCGCTGGCCTCGCTGGTCTTTCTCTCCGTGGCCCTCTTCATCTTCTGCTACTTCAGGTGAGTCGGCACCAGAACAGGGCCGCACGATACAGCTGTTATGCATGGTCACTGAAATAGGAAAATTGTCCATAATTTTGGCAATTCTTCTGGCATAATTTCTGCTTTCTTTAAAATTAACTTCTCCGGGCATGTATATTGTGACGGTTTGCTGGTGGCCGGTGCAGATGGCAGATAGCTGCAGGCAGAAGTTCCACCACCTCGACTTGTTTGAAGGCATGCTTAAAAGTTAAGCGGTCCGCTAGCTGCAAAAGTGTATGTCAGCTTTTCGTAATTAACAAAAATATATTATCCATTTTTAAAACGTATCGATTTTCGTGCCTCTTTCACTAAAACTGTCGCGATTCGTTGCTGAGGAAACTGCAGATCGCACAATGAAAATCCTGTAGAGTAGGCTGTGCCGCAGTACACAGAGGCCAGACATTACAGTATCACACTCACAGCGCACGCCACATGCTGGGCTCTCGTTAATCAGAGAGATGATATAAATTCTTGTTAGGTCTTTTGAAGGAATGATTGAAATTTAAAGTCCCACAACCTGTTTGATGTTATGTCTGAAGAACATGGTAATGGAAATTTCCTCCCGGCGTCCTCCCCATAATCAGCCTCCTAATCAGCCTCCTGATGCCCACCTCGCAGTCGTTCGAGCGCGGCCGTAAACCCACGCGTGCCGCGCCGGATGAGGGCCGAACTGGGTCACTCTGCTCTCCGGAGACGGACGCGGGCCGCAGTTCATCAGATCTAGGTGTCCGGAGGTACTCCAGCCGGACGCGTGATAACACCAACTGTCGGCAGCGGCCGCAGAACTGGCGGCTGACGACTCCCGTAGGAGGACAGAGGACACGCTGGTGGATGATTTCCCCAGTTACGACGTAATTTGGGACACCGGTGGAATCCGGTGGACGCGTCACGTGCCTGTAGGAGTCTCGTGCTCCGTGTGGCAAGTCTGACGTATTGCGTACGGCGGATTCTTATCGCTCAGCATTGCTTCATATTTCTTTTTTGCCGTTGAATATTCCTTTGTTATGAATATAAGAATATAAGTTCCAACTAATTAAGGATCTCGGTCACATTCAATTGCGCCATCGTTACGTCTTATTCAGGGACGTTTCTTGCAACAATGCGTAAGCGAGTCATTCTAGCCGCTTTCCTAACTCGATTTAATCTCAGAGCCACAATACCACAATCATATCTGCAAATGAAAGAGCTGGAAGGAAACAGCGGTCTTGCATACAAACGCCGAGTAATCAGCGCTCTCTGAGAAGGCCCAGTGCGGCTGACTGCGTTTCTCGGCCGGAGCTGAGGGCTGGACCGGGCCGGATCGGACCAGGCCGGTCGGCGGGCCAGCGCGCTCTGTTTCACGGTCGTTTAGTCAGCGTCCGACCGATAGGGGCGCTCAGTGCCCGCGGGAGCTGACCGATCAGTCTCCATCGGGTGTGGTTCAGCCGCGCTCGGCGGTCATTTGTGGCGACTGCCCGGCTGGGGTCAGGGGAGCGGCGTCAGGGTGTGGCGCAACGGTAGACTTCAGTCGCCAGACAGCATCTCGTGTGGACCTCAGCCGCCAGACAGAGCTTCATGTGGAATTCAGCTACGAGACAGCGCGTCTTACCGGGGGGAGCGAGCGTCACCCGCGCACTTTTGCGCCGCCCCACCGCGCCGGGTTGAAACAGGCGTCCGTCATGGAGCAGTGGAGTAGGCGTTTGAGACGGATCTGACTGATGCGTCTCTAAAAAAGCCAAGAAATCAAACAGTCCTTGACACAGCGTCCCGCCGCCCACCGGGGTTGAACGGGTGTCGCCCCCGAGCCGGTGCCCCTTCTAGCTGAGACGGTCGTCGCCCCCGAGCTTGTACCCCTTCAGCGTGGGAGAAGTTCCGGTGGGCCGTTAATGGCTACTTTGACGGCCATGGAGCGGAACTGATTCCCGGCGACAATGATCCGCCTTTGGCTGCTTAGTGTTTCGGAATAATGCGATGTTGACGTTTCATAACTCAGTTTTGTCCAAAATTGAGATGAATGGCGTGTCAGATTCACAAGCACGATGCTTTTCTGAGTCAGGTTGCATCAGGTTTTGAGTAAATCAGATTACAAAGGCATTTATGGCCGATTGGCGCACGAGATACTTAAGTGGGTATCATGAGGCGTGTTAGCATTGGCCGATAGCGCCAATCCGATTGGTGGGGCCAGCCTGAAGGCATTCGATGCATTTAAAAGCATTAGTTTATGCAAAACAATAAACTGATGCCTAATGCGAGGTGAAATAATGCTTCTGTAGTATAAATTGATGATAAATTACAATAGCATGCATACCAGTATGTATGCATTATGCAATTTAACATCTTTAGTTTGATAAGTCTGGTTAAGAATAGTCCCTTATAATCACTTATAAGCGTTTATAGTCTGGTTTGAAAAGCAGATTTAATCTTGACGATTACGTCTGATTGTGATGAACAAATCTGTCTTTGGTAATGAACTATGCTGGTATGCCTTACACAGACTGTGGTGCCATTGTGCCCTCAGATGAGTTAGATGAATTACACATATCAAGGCTTAAACATATAGGAGCGCCGTATATCAGTCAAATAATAAAAACAGCTATCATAATTAATTATCCTCCGCTCAGCCGGTTGAGTGCTCCATATTTAGGTGATTTCGGCTCCCATTATTTGACACGACCAGCCGTTTAGCTTTCCCCTCGCTGCCTGCTGCTCCTTTGTGGGTGGCACGCGAGCTGCGTTCGTTCCGCCCCCTCCCCCCTCTCCTCGAGGGAGGGGACACTCATACTGCGTCACGCACTGCATCTGAGAAAGGAGTCAACAACGCGCTGCCGGGGCTCTCCCAAACAAGACCAGCAGCCCTGTACGCCCCTCGGCTAGAGGAATCAACGTATTTTTTTTAAATTTTCTCTAATCAGATGGATATTGGCGAAAACGATATTCGTAAATTCTACCTGTCGGCCTTTAACTCATAACTCAAACAAAAATGAAAACGCCGAGCAGCTGCTGCAAGCTGCAGCTTGTTGCAAGCTTGTTGCTTGTTGTTGTTGTTGTTGTTGTTGTTGTTGTTGTTGTTGTTGTTGTTGTTGTTGTTGTTGTTGTTGCAAGCACTTTGCAAGCGGCTGTCGGCCGCTCGACCGAGCGGCTGAGTGTCCCAGCAGCTTGCGGAGCTGGCAGGCCGCTGTCGAGCGAGCCCATACCAGTCTTCAGACGCCGCTCTTTGGATCTCGCAGTGGCGTTCAGTCGCAGATCGTCTAAATAGTCCGGAGCGAGCCTCTCCTGCCAGCGTTAGCCGGATTTGATATATTAACATCAGCCTGTTGAGTGTTGACCATCATCAGGAAGCATATTATCATATTATCATGAAGCGAGTGATAGCATTTACCGCGCTGCTTCCATTGGAACTTCTATTTAATATCAATCGTCAATGATGTACGGTTAAGTACAAGATAACTGGGTATGTACAGTGTGCACCTTTGCTCACTGAAATAGCCTTTATCCGGGTATTTCTTTATTTCAATGACCACGTTTCCATGGGCATGCTCGTGATCCGGATTGCTAAATTTATATCGCATGATTTTCCTCGCACCATTCGTTGCAAGCTTTAAGTTACAGTAGATTAGCTATATCTAATCGCTCAATCCCTTATTCTAATTCACATATAGCGTTTTCGGTCTAAATTGACATACCGATTATCCCATCCGAATCACCGGTGCCCATGGAAACCGGTAGATAAATAAAAAAAACTTATTTAAATCTCGATCGCAAGTCTACCGAGGCCAGCGACCAGACAGACAGTGAAGTGGAGGAAATTCAAACAAACGTAAGTATTGGAATCGGTCCCGCATAGGGAGACCTTTGATGCGGCGCCACAGCCAGCCCATCTGTGTCACAGATATTGCCTCCGATTCAGACCAAAACGAAACAAATAACACGCATCAGTGGCAATATACTTTCGCAATTTCCGGAAAATGCACAGGGTTCGGGCAAAACTGGGTCCGTTTTCAGCCACATATGTTAAAGCGAATGCAAGGATTGATGCAAACCAATGTTTTCGGTATGCTACACCACTGGTTTTACAGAAAATGCTTGACCAGGCTATTTTCTTGTGCCTGAGAAAGAGAAAAGTGGGTGTGGTAAAGAAGTTTTACCAGTGCTAGAAGTGAATGCAGTGCACTTCCATTATCGATGCTCAGCAGATATCTCATATAAGTGTCCGCACAGCAGTCAGTAAATCACGACCAAATTGGAGCCGTTGGGGCTATGAGAAATTGGATGTTGTTCGAGTCACGTGTGGCGTGGTGTTCTGACCATCAATGTCTGGTCCATATCTATGGCTAAAGGTCCGGCAGCGCTGCAGGAGGCTCGGTCATGTGGGCCGCGGACGACAGAGGCTGATTGATGAAGCAGTTATCGGGCCGTTTGTGAGCCTTTCGAATCCGAACAGATTCATAAGTAATCCTGATTAACTGTTGATTTCCCTGTCCGTACCACTAGAAGCTGTTTATTTTTGGATGGATATGCTCGGACGTTATGATAGGTGTACCGACCTGACCTGTGAGAAAAGTTGCATGCTATATCATTTATTCATTTTATTCACACCAATTCATTCATCTCCAACACATGCTGCGTAAGTGATTTTTATGCGAGTTCATACGCATTCTTTAAAAACGCACTCTTAGCTGTGACAGAATCTAGAGTAACAGGGAATCTACATATATCTATCGCCGCTATGCATCCCCTTCTTAAGCTGCGCAATCTTCACGCTTTCCCTCGAGAGCGCACAATCTATGGTAATTCCTCAATACATATTAGCGGCTAACATTCAGCGTTCTCTGGTTGCAGGTGTCTCCAGTGCAGCCGATTGTCTGTTCACAAGAACCTGATCGTGGCGCTGATGCTGTGTAACATCCTGATGATCATCATGACGGAGCCTTTCATCACTGGACGCGGCGGCGGGACCTACAGGGACGTGGTGAGTGCCGGGACGGAGTGCCTATGAGTGGCATGGAGTGGCGAGACGGAGGGCGTACAGAGACGTGATGAGTGCCGGGACGGAGGGCGTACAGGGACGTGGTGAGCGCCAAGACCGAGTGCCGATAAGTGGCAGGGAGTGTCGGCCGGGGCATCTACAGTGGAGAGTACCGGAAAAGTTCCAGTTTCAGTTTGTTTAGTTTTGAGCATTTCGGCCGAAGAGGCCCTTTCAAGCCTTACCGGACGGAGAACCCACGGAGACGATAGAAGTGCGGTGCATTACGCAACCGTCTTGCTATCCGGCGTGCCGCAGTCCCCCCTCCCCTCCCTCTATTCGATACGTAGCTACACGAGTGGCCGGCTCGGTTGGTCGTTATTTTCACCGGCTTTATGGCGTTCGGCGTCAGAAGGCATAATTGAGAGGAAATTCGAGCTCGTTCGAATGTAAGCCGCCCCTTGGCATGAATAAGTGCGGCGCAGTGCGGTTCGTTGGCCAGAGAGATAGCCATGATTTGCTCATTCTATTCTCAGAGCATACCATTCCTTCAGTGCTTTGAATGTCTCAAAAGCATTACTGTTTTGCATATTGCAACGGAAATGAAGGCCGCAAGGTTGAAACGCCTAAGTTGCGGCCAAAGCAACAAAAGTAGTTGGTGGGATGAACACTCATAAGGTCGTTTGAGCTCAAAATAGACTGTCATAGAAGCCTTTATGACCTCCGTGATCACGCTAGCGCACAATTATCACTGCCAGGGGAAAACTAACGTGACGCAATTAGCTACAAGAGCAGAGCTAACTTTGCCGTTCGCTGACATCTTTCGCAGAAAGTGGGACTTCCCCTCATACATGATTGGAACGCAATGAGAGTAATCAAATTTTGTAATTAGTTCCATGATTTAATTTCTAAGGCTCATTCTGAAACGATAAAACGGTTAAATGGCCTATGACACTGGCAGCACGGCGGCAAGATTCAGCTCATTGCAACAAGAGAAACTCTGTATTAGCGCAGTACAATGTATGATATTATTACAATATATTATTAACAAAAAAAAAATTATTAGCGCAACACTGCACCCCTGAAAATTCCCTGCACATGACGCCGTGTCACAATGCGCAATGCGCATGCTTTGTCTAGTGGTCAAGTGACAAGGCTTAATATCACTCAATGCTGGTTAGGCTTTCATTTTGACTAGCAGATTCGCTGGCAATGACAATGCCTCATTAATATTTACACGGCATAGCACATGTTTTTCTGCGTTCACCTCACCGTCCACCAGAAATAACTACAGTGACCTCAACGAGCCAGTGACCCAGTGAGCTGCAGTGACCTCAGTGACACAAAATGGCCTCAGTGACCTCTATTACCCCACGGTGGCCCCTGTTACCCCAGTGATATCAGTGACGCCCAGTGATCTCATTAATCTCAGTGACCCTCAGTGAACTCAGTGCCTCCTCATTGAACTCAGTGACCTGTCAGTGACCCAGTGACTGGTCGCGTCCCCGCAGGAATGGCTCTGCAAGGTGATCGTGTCACTGCAGATGTACGGCCGTATTTCGGCCATCATGTGGATGTGGAACGAGGGTTTCTTCCTACACTCCCGCATCACCGTCTCCATCTTCGACTCGCGCGCGCCCTTCAAGTTTCTCCACCTGGTCGGATGGGGTGAGTTCGCCAAGATGTCTGTGATGCTGTTAGGTAGTTTGTAAGATAGTGTTCGCTGACTTGACCAGACGCGACAGCTCTTCCATTGACAGAAGACGAGAGAAGGGAGAAGTTTTTCTTTTGTCGCAGTTTTTACTTCGTAGCGCAAGCAAGAAATGCAGAAGAGTCAAAATGCTGCGCATGCAAATGGGATATGTTTCAGAGAAGTGTAATTAAACAATCTAGAGGCACAAACAGTATATATTACCTACCTGCAATTGGCCGAAAATTACCTAGGTTGCTGCGATTGTCAACAATCAATTGTATGTCAATTAATTTTCCGAACTCTAAACACTACTCCGTCTTATTTTATTTTTCGTTAGTCCATCCTTGGATGATCCACTGCGTGATTTATTTTATGGATTAGCTGCATCATTTCTCAGAGCCTTCAGAAGAGCAATATCATCTGTGCCCGGCCCGCATGACCGGAATAAATTGACCGGCCGAACCTTTTGGAATAACGGTATCGCAGTTTAACGGATTTTACCCGGGCGCACCATCGGTGCAGCTATCCATCTGGCAAGCTTAGTGGATACAATATCTACAATTGACAGCTCATGGTTCAGGCATCTTTTGGTGAAGAAGGCTGCGTTCATCAGCATAGACAATGATTGGAAATTATTAAGCATATTCTTGATGCTGACAATTCAGTTTATCTGCGATGTCATTGATTTCTTCGTCTGTCTCTGCAAACATATCTGCATTTTATGTATAGTATCCAGGTCCCTGCAAATATATCTGCATTTTATGCACAGTATTCAGTGACGTCTTATGCTTGCTGTCGGCAGGCCTGTCTGCCGTGTTCGTCATAGCCTGGGCGCTGATGACGGCACCCAGTGACGTCATTTGTTTGCTGTCGGCAGGTCTGTCTGCCGTGTTCGTCATAGCCTGGGCGCTGATGACGGTACCCAGTGACGTCATTTGTTTGCTGTTTGCAGGCCTGTCTGCCGTGTTCGTCATAGCCCGGGCGCTGATGATGGTATCCAGTGACGTCATATGTGTTTGCTGTCGGTAGGCCTGTCTGCCGTGTTCGTCATAGCCTGGGCGCTGATGACGGTACCCAGTGACGTCATTTGTTTGCTGTTTGCAGGCCTGTCTGCCGTGTTCGTCATAGCCTGGGCGCTGGTCACGGAGCGGGCGCTGCCACACAACTGTTGGAACGGATACGCTCAGCTGCCAGAGGTCTGGCTTCTCATCGCCCCGATGATCACAGCGCTGGGGGTGAGTTATAAGTGCCGTATGGCTGCCACGAGTGTCGTGTGTGTTGTGAGTGCCGTGAGGTCGATAAATCTTTAGCTTTTCTCGAAGACATAAATCGCTAGCTTTCTCGGAAACATGCATGTGATAGAGGCTAGCAATCACTGCATCATCCCGGCTGGCATTCAGAAGGTTAGAAGCTCACAAACGCACAAACCAATCTGAAGATGCACAAATTTAATTGGCACTAAACTGTGTTTGCTTGTTGAGCGTCAAGAACTGTTTTGCAACCTCCTTATATTTCAGAAACGACTGAAACTGCTGTGCGTTATGATCCCTCTACTGTGTTTTTATCAACGGAACGTCGCTCATCAAAGGCGCGTTTTGTGCTTTTCTCGAAGATCACCGGGCGCTATTTACCAATGGCTACGCAAGTGCTATCGGCACAAAAATGATCGTCCTTATTTATGTGGTGATTCTCTGTGCACTGATCAAACGAAGGATATTCGTACTTGATCGGCAGGTGCTTCTTACGGCCAAGCAGAGCTTAAATAATTTTCACAGGCGTTTCGTCGCTCATTGTCTCGGTACCTGTGCGCAATACGTCCTGATATCTTTAAGCACTGAGTCCCTGTGCCTTTGCTAACCGAATTACCACGAGTTTTTCTCACCATGGACTCCCACGCAAATCTGATGTCACTGAAATAAGCCAGATCTGAACATGTGGTTTTAGAGCGCTGGGCTAAAGCTACTGTGAAGCTACGGATACTGTGAAGTGCCAGTGGGTATTTCAGCGGCTGCTAATGGACAATCTATCTATATTATAAATCCTAAAAAGTACCCCGCCGCCGCCCACGCCGTGTGCGACGTAGTCACTTTGTAGCGCTTATTGCGGCGGCGTCTGTTGACCTACGGCCGTGAAATTTTACAGCGATGTGGGCCACCTTTACACGTAGGTCGTATTAAATTTTGGACATGATGCGGCCGAGGGTGCGCCCTTGGCGCGTGCTCGCGTGCCCATAGGGTTAACATTAGAAATGGCAAAAACACACTATTGCTCGGGAACGGTGAGGGCTACGGGGGTGAAATTTTCGCTGTAAGTCGAACGCGTGCACTCATTTGACGTATTAAATTTTCGAGGGGGTTGGTTCAGCGGTGTGCACGTGGTGGGGCCGCGACCGGCGCCGAGCAGAGGGCACGTGCTTTAGGCTCAGTTGTTCGCTTAAAAAACTGAGTGGGCCGGCAGGTCATTGACCTTTGACAACGAAGGCCGACACAAGGCACCGCTCGCCAAGAGGATTTGCCAGTAAATACAATTAATTTATTTTTGCAACATCTCAGCCGTTTCTGGGCCGATTTAGCTGAAACTTGGACTGTCGGTGGTAGTGTAGGGTAGGGTAGGGTAGGGTAGGGTAGGGTAGGGTAGGGTAGGGTAGGGTTGGGTAGGGGATTGTAGGGTAGGGTAGGGTAGGGTAGGGTAGGGAATTGTAGGGTAGGGGTAGGGTAGGGTAGGGTAGGGTAGGGTAGGGTAGGGTAGGGTAGGGTAGGGTAGGGTAGGGTAGGGTAGTGTAGAGGTAGGGTGGGGTAGGGTAGGGTAGGGTAGGTTAGGGTAGTGTAGGGTAGGGTAGGGGTAGGGTAGGGTAGGGTAGGGTAAGGGTAGGGTAGGGTAGTGTAAGGGTAGGGTAGGGTATGGTAGGGTAGGTTAGGGTAGGGTAGGGTAGGGTAAGGTAGGGTATGGTAGGGTAGGGTAGGGTAGGGTAGGGTAAGTTAGGAGTAGGGTAGGGTAGGGTAGGAGTAGGGGTAGGGGTAGGTAGGGTAGGGTAAGGTAGGGTATAGTGTAAGGAGGAAGGGTAGGGTAGTGTAACGGTAGGGTAGGGTAGGGTAGGGTAGGGTAGGGTAGGGTAGGGTAGGGTAGTGTAGGGGTAGGGTAGGGTAGGGTAGGGTACAGTAGGGTAGGGGTAGGGGTAGGGGTAGGGTAGGGTAGGGTAGGGTAGGGTAGTGTAAGGGTAGGGTAGGGTAGGGTAGGGTATAGTAAGGTAGGGTAGTGTAGGGGTAGAGGTAGGGGCAGGGTAGGGTAGGGGTAGGGTAGGGGTAGGGTAGGGTAGGGTAGGGTAGGGTAGGGTAGGGTAGGGGTAGGGGTAGGGTAGGGTAGGGTAGGGTTGAATTGAGTAACATCCTAACTTATTGAGGGCTCGAACAACTCGCATGCATCACCATCATACTTTATAGTTCAATTAAAAGCAGTTACCCAGTTCTACACAAATAATACCAATAAAAATGCAAGTTTCTACACCCAAACTAATGCATCCGTTTATCATACATATCAAAACATACAGTTATCGCGTAAACCTGTACCTCTAGTATATTATAAATCCTAAAAAGTACCCCGCCGTGTGCGACGTAGTCACTTTGTAGCGCTTATTGCGGCGGCGTCTGTTGACCTACGGCCGTGAAATTTTACAGCGATGTGGGCCACCTTTACACGTAGGTCGTATTAAATTTTGGGCATGATGCGGCCGGGGGTGCGACCTTGGCGCGTGCTCGCGTGCCCATAGGGTTAACATTAGAAATGGCAAAAACACACTATTGCTCGGGAACGGTGAGGGCTACGGGGGTGAAATTTTCGCTGTAAGTCGAACGCATGCACTCATTTGACGTATTAAATTTTCGAGGGGATGGGTTCAGCGGTGTGCACGTGGTGGGGCCGCGACCAGCGCCGAGCAGAGTGCACGTGCTTTGGGCTCAGTTGTTCGCTTAAAAAACTGAGTGGGCCGGCAGGTCATTGACCTTTGACAACGAAGGCCGACACAAGGCACCGCTCGCCAAGAGGATTCGCCAGTAAATACAATTAATTTGTTTTTGCAATATCTCAGCCGTTTCTGGGCCGATTTAGCTGAAACTTGGACTGTCGGTGGTAGTGTAGGGTAGGGTAGGGTAGGGTAGGGTAGGGTAGGGTAGGGTTGGGTAGGGGATTGTAGGGTAGGGTAGGGTAGGGTAGGGTAGGGTAGGGAATTGTAGGGTAGGGGTAGGGTAGGTTAGGGTAGGGTAGGGTAGGGTAGTGTAGAGGTAGGGTGGGGTAGGGTAGGGTAGGGTAGGGTAGGTTAGGGTAGTGTAGGGTAGGGGTAGGGTAAGCTGTAGGGTAGGGTAAGGGTAGGGTAGGGTAGGTTAGGGTAGGGTAGGGTAGGGTAGGGTAAGGTAGGGTAGGGTAGGGTAGGGTAGGGTAGGGTAGGGGGTAAGTTAGGAGTAGGGTAGGGTAGGGTAGGGTAGGAGTAGGGGTATGGGTAGGTAGGGTAGGGTAAGGTAGGGTAGTGTAAGGGGGAAGGGTAGGGTAGGGCAGGGAATTGTAGGGTAGGGTAGGGTAGGGTAGGGCAGGGTAGGGTAGGGTAGGGTAGTGTAGGGGTAGGGTAGGGTAGGGTAGGGTACAGTAGGGTAGGGGTAGGGTAGGGTAGGGTAGGGTAGGGTAGGGTAGTGTAAGGGTAGGGTAGGGTAGGGTATGGTAAGGTAGGGTAGTGTAGGGGTAGAGGTAGGGGCAGGGTAGGGTAGGGGTAGGGTAGGGTAGGGGTAGGGTAGGGTAGGGTAGGGGTAGGGTAGGGGTAGGGTAGGGTAGGGTAGGTTAGGGGTAGGGTAGGGTAGGGTAGGGTAGGGTTGAATTGAGTAACATTCTAACTTATTAAGGGCTCGAACAACTCGCATGCATCACCATCATACTTTATAGTCCAATTAAAAGCAGTTACCCAGTTCTACACAAATAATACCAATAAAAATGCAAGTTTCTACACCCAAACTAATGCATCCGTTTATCATACATATCAAAACATACAGTTATCGCGTAAACCTGTACCTCTAGTTTAGTTAGAGCCTTGGCAGTGTCAGCCTGCAATCAGTCCGTAGGCGCCCACTGCACACAGCCAGACAGTGGCTGGCATCACGGCCAAACAGTGGCTGGTATCACGGCCAAACAGTGGCTGGTTCACGGTCAAACAGTGACCTGTATCACGGTCAGACAGTGACTAGTATCACGGTCAGACCATCACTACATAGTATCACGGACAGACAGTGACATGTCTGTTTCGATGATGATAGATAATAGGTGACCCACCACCAAGTCTTCAGCAAACTGCTTTACTTCTTTGCAATATCACTTTTCTTACGCGCTTAGCCAAAAACAGATCCAACCGAAACGGTCTTTCAGATATTACTTAGCTTTCCATGTCGAGGCACATGTTGTCGTCTGAGATTGGGCTGCCTCTTTTACGTCACAAAAACTCGGAAATGTATATAGTCTTTTTCATTAAGGCACTGCGGCTGCTGTTATTTTTTCTTGTCAGTAGTTGCGCGAGACACTGGTTAAATTGTTGTATGCGCTGTCAGTTCTGTTATTGGTTGTCGCTTTATCTATAGCGCCTGCCAACTAGTGTTGACGGACTGTGGGCGGCTGTCAGTTTTTATCCGCTCTCGGCACCGTAAATGCCATTTAATGCACATTGGCGTATGATGACAGGCATATCCGGCGATAATATGGTAATCTGGGATAATACCTAGCGAATAATGCAGTATGCAGCCATATACCAGCATTTCCTTAATGCTTTCAGTATTGCCCGCTGGTACATCCGGTCGAATGTTCTTTACTGGATGAGATGACAGTGCTTACACCGCTAACAAGTCAAGGAATCGTCGTAGAGACGTTGTAGATGACTGAAGAAGGCACGCAATACGGAGTGTATCTGTATGTTTGACTCTCGTGTTTGTTTACAGATCAATATGCTCTTTCTGTTCAACGTGGTGCGCATTCTGGTGACAAGGATGAGGAATAACACTACTATGGAAATGGAGAAAATCAGGTGAGAATTGGAAAAACAAAACAGACAAGTTTTCCAAAGCACAGTGACTGCGCAACATGCCTTTTAATAGCAACGCGTGTGGAAAGTATGAGTAGCACCGTAGCACACAAACTTTTTTTAGCGTTTAAGTGCTGCTGAAAACGCTGAAGTATGTATGTTACAGGCAAAGTGAAAACTCGGGCATTTTGCAAAATGCCTAGGCAATTTGCAAAATGTCTGACCGGCCAGGCATTTTGCAAAATGCCTAGGCAGTTTGCAAACTGCCTGGCCCACCAGGCATTTTGCAAACTGCCTGAAATATTTTCCCAGGCATTTTGCAAAATGCCTGACATCAAACTCGCACTAGCGACGATGTATAGGTAAGCATCATTTGTAACTGCCGCTTACAAAAGTTTATCGCTGTCAATGCGCACCAAGTGAGGGGACACTGCGTTCTCCGGGTAGCGCCGCCGAGTTCAGGTCACTGAGTCCCAGCGGCCGTCGGGTGCCGAGCACCGGGCGTGGTTTCGTGGGTAAACATGCGCTCGGTACAATGATTGTACTGTTTCTAAGGGCTCTTGGTGGCTTTTTTAAATACTGTGGGGGATATTAATCAGAAAAGAACACTTTTCCAATTTACGGAAATTTGATTGTTACACGTTTACATTATCAACCGTCTCTGCCGGAACAGTTGCCCACCAGGGCAGAATGCTGGACATCGCAGCTTTTATACACACGGCTAAACTCCGTATATACGAAAGGTACGGAGACGGTCGCTCAAGTCCATTCAGCGGTGACTCCATCCCGACAGAATTGACGCAAGGTGTAGGTATACAGAGTGCCACGAACTTGATGCACGGTTGGCGCGGTCTTGTCCCTCCATGCCCCTCCTGAGTGCTGAATGGATGTAATTTTAACGGGTCCGGCACCAGGGCATCTGTACCAGGGCACTCTGCATCTAAATCGGCCATCCCCCGGTATCTGAAGATGTTACCCTAAAGCTGAAGCCGCTCAACCTCAGTCTGCAACCCTGACTTACCGTCATCCATAAGTGATGCAGCTGGATTTCGACAAAACCCACCAAATCTGGACCATTCAGGACAGACAATGCTGAGGCCGTGAGGCGATATTAGCCGTTTTCACGACGGCCATCTGGTACACATTTGGTTCACATCTGGTGCAGATTAGGTGCAGATTTTGTCAAATTAGGTTCAGTGCGTCTCTTAGTAGCTATCAGCTAGGGTTGTACTAATTGCTTATATGCCTCCTTTGTCATATTATCAGAGAGCATCATCGGTTAAAACACTGAAATAAATTCATAAAATAAAGATATTTGCTGTAAAAGAGATTAGGTGTAGATTTGGTCAAATTAGGTGCACTCGCCGGATAGCCCGTCGTGAAAACGGCTAATAGAACTCTTCTTAGTCACTAATCGTCCCGACAACCAGTTCTGGGCCAACAGCAGCTCAGAGGCGCTGCACCGTCGAGACGGTGAAGCACCCAATGCGTTAGGCGGTATGTACGGGTGGACATCGATAGCAGCGCCTCTAGCGGTCACTAGGGAAAGCTGGGCTGTAGGCGACGAAATACCGGCTGAGTTTTCACACATTGAATAGGTTTATAGACATCTGTCTTGTGAAAAAGGTGAATTTTTGCCTTCAATATTTCTACAGGCAATTTTAGAAGTGATCTTCACATCGTACAAACCGTTTAGATTATTGTATTCACTTCAAGCCTTCCTTATTGTTCTTGACGATGATACTGGAACTATTTATAATCAGTGTTTCTAGCTTAGTAAGAGAATATAGTGTTCAAACGGTGGAAAAACATAATAGGAAAATTTTAAATGCAATTGTCTCTAATAACTAATCGTAGATTCTCTACACATCAAGGAAAATTTGCATGCTAACTGATAATTCGAAGTTCTTGAGGCCAGATGTTTTCTTCTTTTCTTACGTCGCCTCAATGGCCGCGAATACACTTGTGATAACGCCTATCGGGGCACTGAGGATTCTCGTTTGGGGCATGATGGGCTACAGAGGCCTATTTGAGCTTCACCAGGTGCCGCGGGGACAGACCACGTGGCCGCTGATAACTTGTCAGCGAGGTGCTGGAGAACACTGACGCAACTACGATGCAATACATTTCGGGACACAAGTACAACATCCCGCAACAATTCCGTGACACTCTGTATTCGTGACCGTGGAATGTGTCACATGTGCCCAAAACACATGTGAAATGTGTTGTGGGCACAGTCACAGTGGAACGTTTATGATCAACGCCTGTAGTCAACAAAAACGGTGGAATATATGGAAACTCAGGCATTTTGCAAAATGCCTGGCGGGTCAGGCATTTTGTAAAATGCCTAGGCAGTTTGCAAAATGCCTGGTGAGTCAGGCAGTTTGCAAACTGCCTAGGCAATTTGCAAAATGCCTGGCGGGTCAGGCATTTTGCAAATTGCCTAGGCATTTTGCAAAATGCCCGAGTTTTCACTTTGCCTGTAACATGTATATGTATATTGACATCTGCATGTCCACCTCTGACCTGTGAATAAAAGAAACCCAACTCACATATTTCCTATTGTGTATGCTTAGAACAAAATATCCCATGTCAAATCGTCATTGAGCTGGTTGGCCCATTTTCGATCTCCTTTAGCGCATGCACCACTGAGATAGCTCGTGTGCTGTTCATTGTACACCGCCTCGACCTTGTCCGTTACAGCCCTGTTTATCATTGAACGGTAACTAGCTACCCCTGTGCTGTCAGCCAGTCAATTTCACCTCTGATACAGTGTCCATTTCTTTTCCGGAGGCAAGGCCGATTTATTGAACGATAGAACACCGCGCTATGGCGTTTGAAATGAGATCGGCCTTCAATGCCAGTAATTGTCGTGGAGAATAGGCGATTAATTCAGCTGCAGACGTCAGCTCGTTGATGGTCTATTAATCATGTCAGTGACAGCTCGCGACTTTGGCCAATCCCTGGAATATGTTAATATATGACACCGCTTGCACGTAAATTTATCAGAGGTCGAAAGTGAAGCTTAGCAGCCCGGGGAGCATCGAACGAATCGGCAGAGATATCCAAGCATTGGATTTCTCTGCATTATTTCTGAGTGGCCGCAATTTAAAACACTGGCAATAGCTAGCTGTAAAATGCGAAGGTTTTCAAACGCAGGGTAGTGGTAGACACACTGAGGAAAGCATCTGCAGGACGTCTTAACATTTTCGTGATGTTTGATTCTGCTAATATTTAACTATTTAACTTTAAAGTTACCTAAATATTTGCCAACGGTTTCGGCATTCTCTCACCGATAGGTGTTCACCAAAATAATGCATTATGGTGTATTGTGGTGAAAGGTTTTATTTACTTCGTAAAGATCGGAGCTTGTTTTCGTTTTACATATTTTTGCGGAACGTAAGTTTTGCTTATATTTTGCGTCAGCCGCTGATAATGTCTGAAAGTTATCAGACCATTTAGGCCATCAGACTCACTTCCTTGATCTGCTGCTTCGCGATTAATCTTTGATTCGCGAAGCGCCCCTCGGCGCCGTAGTGTCGTCCGACGCTCGAACCACGCGGAACGAGCCGCGGCGGCGCGGACCAGCCTGAAGTGGTAGGCTGTACCGCAGCGCGCTGGAGCGCCGCGGAACAGTCTATGCTGCCAGTATCTGGCCGGCTTGCTGGACGGGCTGAGGACTGAGGAGGAGCTTCTGAGCAGGGCTGCAGAGTCGATGGGTTTTCAGTGACTCCAACTCCGACTCCGACTCCGGCTTTCAAAAACCAACTCCGACTCCGAATCCGGGCAGAACTGTCGACTCCTATCGACTCCAACTCCGACTCCGATTCCGTCGCCCTGCCAGGTCGTCTGCGTAGTTGATGGATTTTCGGTGACTCCGACTTTGGCTCCTGCTCCTTTTTCCCAAACTGGCTCCGACTCCAACTCCAACTCCGGACAGAATTGTCGACGCCAGCCGACTCCGACTCCAACTCTCACTCTGCAGCCCTGCTTCTGAGCCACGCACAAACGCACCTGTGCCGATCGCTCGGCCGGCCGGCCCGCCGCGCCGTCACGTGGCAGACGGGAAGCAAATTACATTACGGCGCAATTTTGTGCGTGCGAGCTGTTCGCACAACCTTTTAAGTTAGAGTGCTCGCTTTGATGTAATGAGCACAGTCTAATAAGACAATGTGTTATGTTAGTAAAAGTGTAAAGCGATTAAGGAAAAGGAATATAGGTATGCATAGGAGACATTCATTCTTTAGCTCTTAGGCGTGCATATTTCAGTCTAGCAATAAGGCGTTGCTAAGGAATCTGTGACATGATATTAAAGCAAGAGAAATCAGTTCAATGCCTTGTGCTTGAGTTGCATTTCTATATGTTCCTAAAGTATTTAGAAACGAGTTAAAATGATTTATAATCGTATAGTAAGCAACAGTTTGGCTGTGTTGTAAGCTAAATAGCCTTCAACAATCAACATCTTCAGTAACTGATATACCTAATGCATTATGGTACTATAAGATATTCACAAGATCAGGCTGCATCTATCTAAAAGGCCATGTGGAAGAAAACCTTTAACACAATAAGTACTTGACGGAAGCCGCTATAGCCATATGGGCGCGGGTCGCAGACTGGCCGGAATCCTGAGCATTGATCGGCGGCCGGACGACCATCGAGTTGGACGCCCGAGTTATCTCGGCAAACTTCAGCCCGCTGTTGAATGTGGTTACAAGGTCTGAGATTGGGAGCTTGTGCGCCGCAGCGGCCACCTGACCTCCGGGAGTTAACCAGGCCACTTTTCATCGCCGCTATACATGGACGCGAGCCACAGTGATTGGTGAACCAATCAAGTGTCACTTCACACCGGCTTACCAAACGCTGACTCGGAATTTTGAGAACTATCGCCATTGTCTGTTTCAGGAAAGCCATCAAGGCCACGGCGATCCTGTTTCCACTGCTGGGAATTACGAATCTGTTCTTCTTTATTCGACCGTCGGACAACAGAGACTCAAAATACCAGGTGTACCTGATTACAAACTCCATTCTGCACTCTCTACAGGTCAGTCAGATGCCAATACACACTTTTCATTCGGTGTTATAAATGCACCGATTTGCATGTTCAAAATATCATGATAAGGGGAGTATCCGTCCAAGCATACGTGGGTGCATGAGCATTGAGCAACTGAAAGCGCAAAATAGATCAGCTTTTGCCTTGTACACTTGCCGCAAATATGTATATCGGAAAAACGTTTCAACTTTATTTTAATAGGCATATTTAGGACTGTAATACACTTCAGAGTGTATGCGTGTGGTGTAACATTCATATGAAAGAGCGTCGCCAATTATACTGCTTTTGATTTCAGGAATTAAATTTTGGTTGTTTTTGCAGGCCAGGATAGAAAAAGAACATTTTTCACCTAGGTTCGTTTAGCTTGACTCTTGGTTTAGTTCGGCCCAGCCAATTAAGCTGAGGCTGAATTTAAGCTTAATAAACCTTATTAAAAGTATGCACTTGCTCGCACTTGTTTGTCCGTCTATTCATCTTTGAACTTCTTTGATGTTCTACTGCAATATAATATTATATTTATTTTAGTAATCTTCGAGCTTAATTTCAATTAAATGATGCAGTTTTCATAATTATATTTATGGATGTTTTGCACATGACAGCTTTCCTCTTTATGTAAATTTGCTGTTAAGTATATAAGCCATTGAAGTTGTGAGATGCGTTTCAAACAAGCAATCACACGGATGTGCTCAGCTGTAGCGGTGTAGACGTAATAAATGGCGTCTTCCTTCATAAAAAACAGACGTTGATCTGCTCTCATTTCGGCATGTCAAGATAAGGTCGGTTATGATAAATGGACTAGCGACTTACACGCTGGCTGCTTATAAAAAAATCATTCCGCACCAAATAAAGTGGGCCATAAAACAGCACTGGGTGCTAGCTACGTTCGATTATTTTTTGTTTTGTGCATTTGATGCATGTAATGGTTCATGCGAAGAGGCTTTTTTTACAATAATTTCACAAACTTGTCATCAATCTGGTCCATTAACCCTCGCCCGCACATGGGGGGGTGGGTGGTTGCCACCCCCCCCAGGTAGTCTTTCTGCTCTGCACTCAACATTTTTAGAGCTAGAAGGCTGATTTTTCGTATAGCTGCTCCTCTATCCTTTCTTGATGTCCACTGAAAATTTCAAGTTTCTGTGATTTTTGGTTTTGGAGATATGACCTTGTTTTTAAGGTCATGTCATGACCCAAATGGCCAATTCTCAACATCTTGCGTTTGCCATGGGCCTTATGAGCTTTTGACACCCTGATTTCGGCCTTTTTTGCCAGTCTTACCTCCTACCTATCATGGAACATGTTGTTCGACGATGTACAGGGGTCAAGGTCAGGGTCAAGGTCAACCTAGGTCACCTAAGATAATTGCGTTTTAGGCAAGCTGAATTTACTTTTTTGAAGTTTTTTGACTGCATTTTTGGTAAAAGCTTCTCAGATCATGATTTCATGTAATATGGACCCAAAAACAATCGGTGCACACATCAGTATACACACAGACACACACAGACATACAAACACATATAATTGACCTTGACCTAACTTGACCTGAAATGACCTCAGCAGCAAAATTCTGGTCGGGTAGTGTGACAAAGAGGTTCTAGCTGGCTTGGCACCAGAAAACAGCATCGTCATCGGTATTTGATAAGCAGCACACTTGATATCCAACGGTGACCCAAAACAGCAACATTTTTTAGTTTGACCTGACCTGGAAGGTCAATGACTGACCTGAGAAGGTAAAACTGGGTATCATTGGATTCGTCTCTTCCCAAAGAATCTTTTTGGTCTTTACTGCTAAGCTCTATCTCCAACAGGAACGAAATGGCGCGGGGGGGGGGTGGCAACCACCCCCCCATGTGCGTTCTAGGATGGGAAAATGGCATGTGCGGGCGAGGGTTAACAGCACCCTCACACTGTTCAGTATCCTTGAGAGCTCGCTCAAACGATTAATTTGTACAAGTTTCCGGTGTCTGTCTGTCCAGACGTGACAAACGACCAATATTGAGAAGTGTGCGTCGAGGAGCAATAAATATCGCAATGTGATTTACTGCCTTCTGCAGAGGATGGTGTGAACTATCGAGCAAAACATACACTCGGCCAACGTAAAGTAAGACGTTGGCGAAATGCTTGCATTAACCCTAGAACGCCTAGGGGGGGGGTTGTATCAACCCCCCCCCTGAGGTTTTTCGGAAATAGTGCAAAAACGGCGGCGCGCAGCGCCGCCAAATTTTGGGTACCTTATGGGGCAACCTTTGCGCATCTTTTGCCGAAAAAAAATTGATCGGGTCATGTCAGGTCACGGAGTTATGACGTCATAAGAGGTACAGCCTCCGGCCGGATTTTCACAAACTGAGTGCCAACGCCCGAGGTTTTCTGCCGGTGGTACGGACATCGGTTGATGGATCGTGATGAAACTTCCCATGCATGTTGGGGCAAGTATTGGCTATCATATGGTATAAGAAATTTGACCGGGTCAGGTCAGGTCACGGAGCTATGACGTCACAAGGGGAACAGCGTCCGGTACTATTTTTGAAAAGCGCCCGAACCACTATTTTGCTAATTCTTGTCACCTCAATGGGAATATGCAGCAATATTAGCTTCTACAGGGAGCAAATGGACCTCCCAAATCCAAAAATACAATCAAATTTCAAAAATTTAAATTTTGATTTTTCGAATTTCTGCCGCCGACTGTGACCTTGCCGACTTCCGGCGCTCCCAACGCGCCATTTTTAGAGCTAGGGAAACGAAATACATACCAAACGATAGAGAATTGATCAAGGAACACGATGGTGAAGGTTTCAAGTCGATATCTCCCACCGTTTTGCCGCAATCGCCGCCGAAAGTTGAAAAAAGTCTATTTTTCCGAAAATTTGACCTTTGACCGGTCAAAAGTAGGTCAAATGTTGACCTAGGACCAAAAAATATACCACCAATCGCGAGATCTCGTTGAGAGCAATCCGTTGGTTTTTTCCGCTAAGCTCTACGACCTTCCGTTTCGAAACGCCAGGGGGGGGGTCGTAACAACCCCCCCCCTGGTCGTTCGTGTTATGAGAAATGGCCTGGTCGTGCGAGGGTTAAGTCATCACGCGTCACACAATAATTGTCTGCTGAATAATTCAGTGGTCCACAGTAGCTAAAGTCAGTCTCTACAGTGTGCGACTAAAAAGAACTAAAAGTCAGGGTTATAGCATCACGACAGCAATGAAATTACTCACGTATGATAGCAGCATTAGACGGCTCCGGGCGAGAATATTTCCGAGAAGAATGTTTATCTTGTTGATTTACCTTTCCCCAGCCGAACGCAGGAATCATTTTATCGTGTCCTTACCAAGCACACGCTCATAGTGACAGTACAGGTTGACTAGCTCAACACCTTGACGACTCTGTATTTACATCGCTTCCCCTTGCGTTCCCTGCTGTTCCAGGGCATCTTCGTCGCCATCCTGTACTGTTTCCTCAACTCGGAGGTGCGCGTGGCCATCCGCAAGAAGTACTACCGCATCATGGTGACGCACAACAGCAGTCGGTGGTCGCGCAAAAACTCGTGCCGCACCTCCACACTGTTCGTCTCGCAGGCCGACCGGCTCTGCTGCCGCCCCCAGAAGTGGACGACCAGCTGCAGGGGCGGGGCCGCCGCACCCACTGAGGTCAAGGCAGCCGGTCAGCAGACCAACTGGTCGCGGCGGGCCCCGCCGCAGGGCGAGACGGAAATCTGAGGCGGCCATCGCACCACGGGAGATGACGAGAGAACGAGGTAAAAGTGTCGCGGGGTGAGCCTCTTTGAGGCTAGCAGTGCGGGTTGCCGGAAAGAAACTGGGACGAAGTGATAAAAGCAGCAGGTGGTGGAAACACTTGGCACTGAGCCTCGATAACGCTATCATTGACATACGAGCCCGCTGCCTAAACGTCCCCAAGAGTGCTAGGTCTGGGAAGCAGTACTGAAGCTCAACACTACAACCGGAGATGGCGAGCTTCGTGTGAGAAGCCCCGGTGCGGTAGCGAGATCAAATGTCACAATCCAGTCTGCGGAAACTGGCCCCGGCTCGTATTAATATCGTTACGCCGAAGCACCGGACAGAGGACTCTTGCTGTAACAGCGGGGAGACCCCTCGTACTATCGGAGAAAATAACGGATATTATTTCTGATGATGCCACTTCGGGGAATATCGCATCCCAGGAGCGTCACCAAGCGTGTCAGTGTGCGCCAAGCTCCGGCGTGCGAGCCGGTACATTTCGCGTGCACGCAGACGCAACATGTTTTAAACGGCAGTGTCACGTGTAAAACGAATGTAGACATTCGATGAGGGAATGAGCAATGCACTGGGCAATGGACCCTGCGAGCAGCCCAGTGGGCTTCTGTCGGGAAGAATCATTACCGTCATCTCTAGTATTGCCAGCACACGATCATCTCTTGAGTGGCGTGACGTTCGATACGTGAACTCAGCGCCGGGACACCTCGCTCCGATGGCGAGTGTGGTGCGCCTGCTGTTGACATTGTAATTCTCCGCGAGGCCACTCACCATCGGCGCTCGAGATTTACAACCCGCGAGACGCCCGCATACTTGTGAGGGCGAGTGGGAAACTGTGTATCAGGTCTGTACGCGCTGCTCAGAGTATGTCGATCTCTGATTGAGACATCAGGACAACCTTGCATGTGTAATGCTGAGCTTAAGCGCAAATGCATGAGTTTTGTCTGTGTGATATGTGCGTTGAGGTGTAAAGCGTTGATCTGTTACTTACGAGACGAGTGTGCTTGCGAGTTATGAAACATACACGTTACGTGCGTCTTAGAAATGGTGTTAACGGATCTGACACACCCTGATGATATTCTTTGCGATGAATTGCCGTGCTGTTCAAAGATCAAAGTAGCTAGCTGATACGTGCATAGCTTTTCCCAGCCCATGCGAGCACCTCCGGCTTGTCCTTCAATAGGCAAGCCAGTAACGTGAACAGAAATGTTCAACCATCAAAATTATGCGGAAATGATAATGCTCAGAATGGCAAAAGCTACTGTAAAATCGCCGCGGCTGGAATCTTTGTCAGCATCACTAAGAGAAGCATGCAGAGTTGTCAGCCCAAGTGATCGATCCTATGTTCGTATTTAGGCTTTTGAAGGGTTTTCATTATAGGTTAGGTATATCCGGTTTCAGCAAATGTCATAAGTTGTGTTTGATCTCCTGGAGCAAATGTTTCTGTTGGCTCGTTAGCGCTATGTCATGTTATATGTTAATCAGGGCGTCATAGCTGAACGATTTTGCTTATTTTCCGGCAGATTTGGTTTCATTTGAATCCCGAACACATTGCACATTAGAATGCTGATCGATGCTGCGACTGAATAGCAATTGCTATGCTGGCTTATGATTCGTTCGTCATTCATAAGCCATCTAGTCAATTACCACGATTTGTGTCAAATGCAACACGCATGTCGCATTTTATATTTGAGTCTTATAGGTACGCATACGATCGTATGAATCTTTGGGCTACCTAAGATTTAAACGATCATGTGATTTGAAATGTAATGCCATGCTGCGAATAAGTAGATCGACTTTTTCTGCCAGTGTTGCGTGTGGACAAATAGTCGCCCCTTGATGTCGGTGTTGGGTGGCCCCGCTGCGGGATTGCCGGGTGTTCAACGGTGTCCCTGCTGATTGGTGACGTCACTACGATGACGTCACACTAAGTGATGGCGTCGCACTGTGTTCTGATTGTCACTACCACGTCCGTGTGAGCCTCTCCAATCACCGTCCTACCTCGGTCTATTCCAGTCAAGTGTCCCAAGACTGCAGACGTTCCATCGATATACATTGCATGCGTCTTATCTCTCTAGTCCACCGCCCTACCTTTCCACGCAATCAGCCGTCCCAAATTTGACCTCTCCACCTAGTCCACGTCTGACATCCACACAGTCCACACAGTCCACCGTCGCGCGTCGGCCAGTTTTTCTTCTGACCTTTGCGAATGCTCCTGTCAGAACGATCCACGCCGCTCGGTTGGACTCAGATGAGGCCATCACCCCTTCCAGTCTTCTGGGACGGTCTGCAGGGGCTCCGTGCGTGGGGAGCGTTCCGAGCCCCTGCGGCCGTCCCCAGTCCCACCCCTCCATCCCCTCTCCCCTCCCCGTCCCCCCGACCGGTGACGCAGTGTTGTGGGATCATGGTGCTATCTGTATTCGAGGCGTGTCGGCCGGCAGTGTGCTTCTGGGTCCAGTCGACGGAGATTGGACAGTCAGCAAATACACTGGTCCGAGCGCCGCTGTCGTGTCTGAACGGTGTTCGATAGGGTCATGAAAGCGCCGTCCCGGCCGGGCCGGCGTCGACTGCCCGTCGGCTGAGCGGAGCAGTTGGGAACAGTGGACGATATTGGTACGGCAGGCACGGTTGGAAACAGCGGCGACATAGTTTCAGCCCGAGACAGACTCGACCGATCAGAGGGATCGGCGTGTACTGGATTATCGCAGGACGATCCACAATGCTGGATGTGCATCGGTTCTACCTGGGCATGGTTTACATAACACTGAAACAGTGGACAGTGATGCAAAGTGCTGGGAATGTGGACGTTTTTTATAACGTTGGGTCCGTGCACACTGGTCAGTTCTCTAAATCAATTATAATTAGGTAGTTAATTGTCTGAATTTGAAATTTAAAAAGAATATTTTCATCGTGCATACCACTGATATGCGTTTTGTATGCGCTGCGATGCAAAAGAAGCACGGTGACTTTTTCACAGTTGGCACTTAGTTATCGAACGATAAATGATTGCAACGTTCTCATCGGTAGATTATCACAAGTAAACGAAAGCTAGAACTGAGCCGAAGCGGATGTTTTATTTCAATCATTCTCGGAAAGCCATTGTGAATCATCGCTCGGTAATCGGCCTGACCGGGGTCTCAGCGGGATGGACATTGTTAGTAGATAGGCGCAATTCCCCCGAAATAGCTCCGGCTTATGGAGCGCATGCAACGCTCTATTGGGCCCAGATGTGCGCCATTATGTCCAGTATAGTGGAAAACTAATGATTGCTGATCAATTGACGTCATGATCTGATTGCGTAACAACACACGGTCGTTCAGTGGAATGAACGATTATATTTCTATAATGCTGAAATTGCATTTATGTAATGCTAGACATATGTCCAGGGTAATGGTCAAAACTGATCGTTGGTGCGATACGATACAGCTCTGCCCGCACGAGTTCAAATGCAGATTACAATATTGCCTGGAGATAGGTTACTTTCACTATATTCAGGGTTTTGTTCCGTCGAGCGAATGTGTAAATACATCCTCGATAAAAGTGCATTGGGTTAAAAGTTGTGTGCACTATAGATAATAGCCTGTTATAATAAAATTATTGTGTATTTCACTTTATCAACATTTGCTCTAAAAAAAAAAAAATGCGTTGGATAATAAGATTACCGACACTGAGGATTCAAGAAGCGATCCTTAGTCGTTGACGACAGTAAATAATCGCGGTATCCTTTATCAGAAACTTGCGCTTTAAGATGTATCAAATTCCGTAAAAAATCTACTGTCACTCAAAAATGACAATCAAACCATAAGTTCGACACCATGTTATTCCATAATCTTTATTCTTTGGTTTCATCGCCGCATTTCGATAGGTCTCTAATCGAGTCCAATGTTTACTCATATCCGCCTGCTATTGCTGGTTGCCCATCGGTAAGATTTCAGAACGAAACATACGATTGCTTTTTAGTACCGTAAATTTGCCGTCTGTCTTTCTTCACTATATCTAGGGGTGAGGCTCTTATAAAGCTTCCCTTTTTCATCATTCTTCTAACCTGTAAACAGTCTTATATCATAGATGCCAGCTGACGCGAAGATGCCCTGTTCACAACACTGCATCGGCCTGGTCCTATCACTTTCTTCGCCATTACTTACGATAATGTGGTTCTAAGGAGCAACATCCCATTTTTCTTCAGGCTGCGTTACCACCGCCAGCCGAGGCTCTCTCGTGCTGGCTGCAGGGCCGCAGAGCCGGCAAATAAAGCCATAAATAGTGAGCGGCGTCCGCAGTGACAGTGGCGGCAGTCTCTCCGGCTCATAACTGCCACACCGGCATAATTTTCAGAGAACTGGCGTATACGAATGTCCAGCAGCAGAACCTGGCCTGCATTCGGTCTGTTGTTGCTATGCGGCCGGCCCGACAGCGATGCAATTCAGATTGTATGTTGCTGTGAGCAAGCTACATACCTACATACCAGAAAAGAGCCATTATCCCGCGAGTTGCTGGGGGGGGGGGCGTTAAACGCCCCCACTTTTTTCGCCGGGCCATAGCATAAAAACGGCGCGCCGTAGGCGCGCCAAATTTTGGGTACCTGTAGGGAATTGATTGAAGCTTATTGTGGCGAAGTTTCAAAAATATCGGTCGGAAAATTTTTGAGATATCGAGGTTTTAGTGACGTCATGATTTCTGAGTTTTCCACCAAAAACGGCATATGTTCAAGAAATCATATAAAATCACAGAATAGACATACAGACATGCCGTAAACGACATGAGACTGCCAATACCATCAACAATCAAATGGCTATCTTCGATTATTGATTTTCGTTCCGCATTTTCCAAAATCTTGAACTGAATCTTGGCAATTTCTCGTGACTACTTCACGACCATGATACATGCATTTCTTAAATTGAACTTTTTTAGCCAAACACGTACACATATGATAAAATGAATGCCACCATCGTGCTCTACGCCCCAAATTACCCATCAAACATGTGTCACAGGCCGCGAATATCAGTTTTGATTTTCGGGGATATGTGCCTGCCCGGTTGACCTGACCTTGACCCTGACCTATGCTTTACTGACCCCTACATGGACCTGACACTCTTGTAGGCCTTATATGATGGATTGTGCACCGTTTTGACAGAGTTTATGACGAGAGGCGCCCATTGCGAAGTCCTTAAGTCCATGCTACTTAAAGCCCGATTTCAGGTGTTTGACCTGACCTTGACCCCACCTGTGACCTCAAAATTCAACTTTAAAGTACTCATCTGAAGCGTCTCGTCGCGTTCTTTCGTTTGCCGCCTCGTGCGTTTCGCTGCGACTATTGGTTCTCGAGTTATCGGCTGGGGGCGTTTAACGCCCCCCCCCCCCCCCCAGCAAACGGTGGGTGGCGAAATACCCCAGCAACTGCCGGGATAGATACGAAAGGCGCAGTCATTAGTATAGGAACGTTTAGTAGATAAAAATGTATCCAGCCAAATTGTGGACTGAAATCGTAACCTAAACAGTGAGCAGGCCGGAACAGGTCGACATTGAGTTATCAATGCCGCGCAGGCTGAACAGCTTTTGTAACTAAATTTAATTATGCCGCCATTTATCACCTATTCCATGATAAATAAGCTGTCTAATGAAAACTCCGTATTGCGGTACAGAAAACCAGTACAGTATCGCCCAACTAGCCGCAAACTTGCTGACAAGTTCCTTGCAGAGGCCACCGTTCGTGAAATGAGAAACCCGCATGCCGGTCCCCCATTTGTCTTCAGATTTCGCACCGCGCTGAATATTCAACGAGCTTTCCGGCAACAGCATCATTCAAAACACGAGCTGTCGCCGAAAATCTAACGCTGACACGCTGTAGCACTGATAATGTGGGACACGGTGGATAAGTAAGTTATGTGGGATAGTTTAGGTAACTCTGCGTGTATCGGAGGAGGGACAGCCGGACGTCAGCTCAGGCCAGCTCGCCAGGCAGGCAGCGGCTGCCACGCGGACATCGCCGACCTCACCTGGAGCCTGTAGACCTGGGGTACATTTTATCAGTGCTAGACACCGGCGGAACACAGACGTTTGCTTTGACACTAGAGATAAGGTAATGGAGAGGTCCTTCATGCGTATATGTTGCGGGCCAAGTGCGAAGGCTAGTCCATTCGCGAATGGCCTAGTCCAAGTGCGATAACGCACTTGGACTAGGCCGTTTGCGAATGGACTAGTCCATGTGCGTTACTGCAGTTGGCCTAGGCCGTTTGCGAATGGACGGGCGTTTATGCTCCCAGTCCAAGTGCGAAGTCAGACCAAGTGCGAAATATCCAGCAAAGTGACGTCAACTTGGCAAGTCAACTTGGCATGTGCAAAGTCCCGTGTGAAATGATGCGTGCAAAGTATTGGTAACTCAACCTTTATTTCTTTATTTCCTTTAACCTTTAACCTTTATTTCAACCTTCACTAACCCGCGCGGGGCTGGGGTCTTCAGCCGAACGCGCGGGGCTGGGGGGGGGGGGGTGTAAATTTTACCCCCCTGTTATCTCCCGAACTAATGGTCCGATTTGGAAAATTCAAACGCCAACCGAAAGCTCTCATCAAGAACAACTACAAACATGTACTTGATTTAAAGTTTGAGGTCAAGGTCAAGGTCAGGTCAAGGGTACAAATTGCAAGTTTCTACAGTATCGGCCTTGCACCGTAGTTGCCGAAGAATGGAGTCATGGACTGAGACTGATTGCCCAAAACGTGTTCTTAGGCTACCAAGACAATATTCGTTGCATACAATATCATTCAGAGGTCAAGGTCAAGGTCAGGTCAGGTCAGGTCAGGTCACCAAAAAACAAAATATAGAAAAGGGCATGTGCGACAAATGTTTTATGGGTCATTTTACTCATATAATTCAATAGGCACACTCAATAAGTGATATGGACCACCTCTGGATGAATTTCAGGTCGAGGTCAGGTCAAGGTCAGGTCAAGTGAGGTCAAATTTTGAAGTTGGTTGTTAAGGCCTAAAAAGGTGTCTATCTTATGCAGTTTTTCACGGCGTATCGAACGGTGCTATTTTTGTTTCCGTACAAGGTCTAGAACGTCCAAAAAATCATTTTCAAAATTTTTGTATGTCGTGACGTCATAAAATTTTGAATAACTCCCACATTTTTGAACCGATTCTTCTAAAAATTGGTATGTAGGTGCACATAGACCACTTCTCTGACATATATTCCGATTTTTTCGATACACCCAAAATTTTGGATTTTATACTTATTTTCCCAAAAAAGTCAGTTTTTTAAAAAAAATTTGGGCCAAAATCCAAAATTTTCAAAAAACCGAGATAGCCATTTGATACACAAAGTAGAATTACGTATAACCTTTTTTGTTACGTCTTGATTCCTTTAAAAATGAAGCTTTTACCGGCGTTTGAAATTTTGCCGTTTTTGAGGCGAAAATGGCGAACATGACGTCACTAAAACGTCAATTTCTCAAAAAATTTCCGACGGATTTCGCTCAAATTTTTAGGGAACGTGTCAAATT